ACACACACACACACACACACACACACACACACACATATACGATTGGATAAGTGCCCGGTGGTCTTACAGAAACACTCCATCTCAAGAGTGAGCATTACAGAAGTATACAGATTTAGTGCTGATATAATATCAAGCATATCTGACTAAACAACACCCACCACTAGGTGGGATCCTAAAATATGACATAGATCAATTAAATAAGATAAAAATTATTAATATGTCGACTTACACCAGTCAAAGGCAAACAGACATGTGTAGAATCACCACAAGAGGAAGACACAGTTAGATCATGCAGAGAATGTACAATAAAAGTATTGGGAGTTGTCCATATACCAGCCTGAACAATCTCTTCCAAAGAACGGTGGGTTCGAGCAGCTAAAGACATAATTAAATAACAAATGTGTGTGAAGACACATTATGTAAACAATGACCTTCCATGGACAAGTCAGAATATGCCAGTCGTATGAGTTGACGAACCTAACCAGTAAGCGTAATAGGCAATAAATCACTATAAACAGAGGAAATCTATGGAACAAAGAGATGAGAATGATATTCACGAAAAGAGGTAGTATAAGCCACTTAACATAGCAGGGAACGAAATGGACAAAGTAGTTGATCTGGATCTGAACATAAGTACAGTTGGAAAAAGGAAGGTAAGGAAATATGAGAAAAGACCAAACAACCTTCCCAGGCAACTGATGTCTTGAGAAGGAAGGCCCGATCCAGATAGAGGATAACACATGAGTAATGGTAAAGGATGCAGGAAACATTAACGGCATAAATATTGGAATGATGACAAAGATGGGAATAATAGAAAAACCTACAATGGAATTAAAGATTGAGTGGGGTGAAGAATGGACCTCTCCAGCTGGATCAGAAAACCCCACCTAATTAGCTTCCCGAGGAAGTAAGCAGCATGACTGAATGACTGGGCACAGGAAAAGGCGAGCAGGAGCCAGTAATCCATGAAAGGAGAGTCTAAACACCCAATGAGTGAAAATGACTGACAAAAGAGCATACCACTCGACAAAACACATAGAGCCAAAGAAAGACCAAATGGTACCGCCTGGAACTGGAAGATGTGACCCACATGGATGAACCTGACTCTGGAGCAGTTGTAATATGAAGATAGACATCTGACACATCAATTTGGTCCTCCAGAGTCCTGGGAACCCCCCCCCCCAACACACACACACCTCCAAAGTGAGAGGTAGGACTCCATGGTGAAACGAGGTGGCTCCAGATAAGAGTTCAACTAGGACAGGTGTATGAAGGGTCTCCAATCTCCCGTCTGTCGGAGGACAACAATTAGATGGGAGTAAAACTCAGGTTGAGTGAGTGCCATCCAATCGACATCCCCTTGAACAGACAAGGCAAGATGACCAGAAGAAGTATGATCCCAAGGAGGAGGAAAGGAAATCTGGGAAGTGGATAGGAGAGGAGTGGAACTGAAGGCAGAAACCTTCAGACAGAACCTGTAGGACCCACAAAACTGTCGTGCGGTGTAGCCAAAAAGACACATAAACTAAACACACTTAGAGAGAGTACACATGACTAACAAACTTACAAAACTTAGAAATTAGTAGAGTCCACAACATACATAAAAATAAAAAACTAGCAAAACTATCAAATTCAACCGAAAACATAAATCAATAAGCAACACCTAAAGTACAAACCACTAGAGGAACTTAAAGATAAAAGACATGCAAATATAGAATTTATTTATAAGTCCACTCAAAGAATCAATAAGACAAAGGATACAAAAGTAAAACCTATTCTGATGAATTATAAAAACCAAACTTACCAAATACTGAGTAGGGAAGACATGAAAGACCTAAATTATCATGTGCAGAAATTAAGTCAATCCACACAACCTCACATAAACTTGCTAAACATGGGTATACCTACTGGGAGTGAGGAATACATGTCTAAAACATATCACAGTTATCCTGGGGAAAAGAACAATATCTAACTCAGGAAAGTATGTAGAGGTGCAGTAACAGGTGGAAAGTGCTGTAGAAAGAAATTTTTACTCAGTAGTTATATCCTTCCTCTCAAAAAATCTTAACATGAAAGAAAGAAATAATCGGGCAAACACAAGACATAAACTACCTGCGAAGCATAGCCTGTGCTTCCCTAGCAGATATCTTCGACCCTGAGATCTGGGGACTTGTGTTAGAACCATTGTTTACCATCGTGGAAAGTACGTCATCCACCATATTAAATCTTGAATTCGTATGAACACATTAGAATTCAAAAAACATAAATACTTCTTAAAAAAAAAATGAGTAGAAACAATGGAAATCAAACACTTGTAGAAACTAATATAAATTTGTGATCAAGCACAATCAAAATTTTGTAATCACAAGGAGAGCAAGTTAAAACACTTTTATATACGAGAATGCCCATCAAGAAAGTAAGGATTACTCTAGAATAGTAGAGGGAGCTAGCTGCACTGGTATAGAGGGAGCAGTATGATTGGTGGAAGGTAGTCACATGTTCAGCAATATTCTGAAATGGCTTGAAACTACTGAGGTATAAAAGACTAGTGCATGTTAGCAAAATATTTTAGCAATGCTTAGAGGACAGTGCAAGATTGAGAAGTGGTAAGACCATTTTGGAATTTAGATTTATTTTGCACTTTTTATGGTGGTTACGAGGTCAGGCAAATTAACCAAATACATACAGAGTTAAAATAGAAAAAATAATGTTTTACTGAAAGCAAACATTTGTATTTATTTAGGGTATCTTAGAGATTAAGCAAATGAAATATGACAATTTTCAGGAAAAGAAAAGTATTTTTTAATCTTAACATGACAGTCACTTTGCTTGTAGCAGTCAACATTTTGACTTCATATATACATGGAGAAGTTTTTCTTAAAACTACTTAATTATCAAATCTGATTTTTTTGTGTACAAAAGACTTATAATGTTTACTGAAAGCTTGGCAAATTTTGTGAAGGTACATAAAACATATTAAAAGTTATATTATGGAAACTGAACTCGGTTGAATAGGCCTAGCTCGTAGTGAGGGGGTTAAATGGTTAAAAAAAAAAGTAGCATTAATTAATTAATTGTTTATAATTCAATAAATATTCTTTGTTTACAAAATACATCTTTTAGGGAAAAAATCATTATCAATTTTCAAATTCTTCTTATGAAAACAACAAAACTATGCAAAAAGCTACACAAATATGAGCATGCATATTGAAAGATTATAAAGGCTAACCTCCTCTGGAAGTGGCACTTCTAGCTGCGTCCCTGATGGGGCTTGTATAGCTAATAATGTATCCCCTTCGAAACAATTACAAACGTCTTCATGGCTGACGTAGGCTAACTGAAAGTTTGTTGGGTCTTCTGTGATATTTCTTATACTTTGTTGCACCCAGGAATGGTGTAGGTCCAGTTCTTCTTCTGTATGTGCCAAGAGATTAAGCTCTTCTTTCAGAGTTACTAGGCGTTCTGAAATTTCCCTTGTGTTGCAGCCAGGTCCTGCCCCTCTGTTGAAACATATTTTAATTAATCTGTACATAAAATTTCAACTTTGTATCTTTCAAGCAGACTAGATTTTCTTCTGAAATGTGGGTATTTATGAATCTCTATAATTAAGTAAACAAAATAACATTCTATCATGTGAATGATTCTGGTATTTTTACACTTAAAAGTTTTTCTAAAACTAATTATATGTTGCAGATCTTTTCAGTATTCTAAGTTTTCATTTTATTAAAACCAAGTTTCCTACTTGAAACAATTTTCAAAGTTGATTGTGAACATGTGTATTACAATCGATTATACAAATGTGCAAAGATGGAATCCTATTCAATATATGGCTTAAAAACCTGATAAAACATAGAAAAGCCAAAAAACTTCATGTTATCTGCTCTGGATTTGATTGAGTTATTTAAAATCATTGTGGACCCTAAGCTGACAAAGGAAATTTTGTTTATGTAATGAAATATAACTGAAGATGAGAATCTAAATACAGAGTTGAGTAGTAATATTAAAATGATTTTGAATATGCAAATCAACAAGTCACGTTACAACCATAGCTGATATAAAATTGCAGTTGGATAGCGTGTATCAGAATTAAATTCTGACATGATTTTCCACTTCATAGGTAATGTGATGCTATTGAAAACTGATCAGTTTTGGGAAGGTTATGAAACAGACCTTTCATACACTTAGACCATAAAGATGTGTTCATATAGAGGATTTAGAATTTCCAAAATGAAGATATCTCATGTACTTAACCCTTTGGCAACTGTGTACTCCATAAACTCCTTTCTGCACATTTCAAAGTTTTACTGAGTTACCTTCAAAATTTAATTAGATTTTACTATAAATGTATGTTAATGAAATTAGCATTATCATATACATTATAATTCAAAGTTTTTATATTATCTAAGTTTTAATTCCTTTATTTCAAAAGAAACCTTTAAAAATATACTTAAACTTTAATTTTGAAATCACATGATGCACAGGCATTCACAAATTTTCATTTTATTACTTGAATAATAGAACAGCTATAATGTATATGTATTATCTAAAAACAAAACTACGGGTACAGCACTGTTTATCGTCCTTGTTTCAAATTCCTTTGGGTCAATTCTGAGAACACAAGGAATAAATATTTTCACCCCCCTGATATAGCAAGACCCACCTTCTATACTTATAGACTTGAGATTTTCAAGCCACATGTATTTATTTGACATTCATGTTTATAACCAACAGAAAGAACTAATTAAACTACAATCTCCCAATGGTTTAAAAATGGTACACAGTATTCATTACCAAGTATGCCAAACCTTAGCATTGTTGCTGTTTTTGTACCCACTAGCACTTAGCATTGTTTCTCACCTAGATACATATTAGTTTGACAGTTAAATTGCATTTAGATTGGACTTTTATATTTTAGTTAATTATGTATTATTTGTGTTTTAAAATGCAGATTTGAAAGTTTAATAATTTTTTTAATAAAACCGAAACTTTGCCTCAATTCACAAAGGTTAATTTACTATGCAATTGCAAAAACATTTTGCCGAAGGCTTGCATATCTCTGCCAAAAAATACCATATGTTCCAAGGGCACCCATTAACATGTGATAACATGAATAATAAACAGTAAAGAACAGCAAAGGAAAATAAAACATTAAAAATAAAAGGTAAGACATGAAATTACATATAACCAAAATAAGATATTTTAAGATTATTCAATGAAGAGTTAAAAGGAATGTACATATTTCTATTTGTTAATTTTAAACATTTTATTGCACAGGAAATTCATGATAATAGCTACAGTTAGTGATATGACAGCGAAAATGAAAAATAAAATATAAACATTTACCTCAAAAAACTTTTGATATTCATTATGGGGGTTCTAGAGGTTATGCAAATGAAATTTGAAAAATTTAAGTTAAAAAAAGTATTTTTATACTTAACATGAAAATCACCTTGCACTTAAATTATTCAGAGTCTAAGTGCATATAACTATAGTAAATAACAAATTTTTAGTAGAAAAAATTAAATTTTATGTTTTTCTGAAACTATGTGCCTTTAGGAAAGTCCCTATCATGTTTCAAACAATTTCATCTACTAGTTTTATTTTTGGAACAAAACATGATGAGAATTATGTTACATCCTCACAATGTAAGAATACAGTAGCAAAAGTGTTAAATGCATATAAAAACAATGGAATATAGATCAACTTAGGGTACAAATACCATCCACAAAGAGAACTACAAGTTGTACCCCAGCAGTGGTAAGCTAAGAGCAGGGTCTTTTAATAAGGGAACAGTATACAACATAATTAAGAGGGATCTCCACTTGTAAAAGCAATACAACTCATGTGTACAAGATGCTTCTACAACATATCTGTTTGACTGTCATATAACTCAAGCAGATGGATAATGAAATGGGTATTCATGCTATTCTATATAAAAATATATCAATGAAGTTGCCAGATGCAGCACTTATGAACTTTCATGTGATACAACTATAGAAATTGGTGCTGGGAAACTATCATTCTCAAACACTGAATGGTTTATGTAAAGCAGCAGGGAAAAGTGATGTGCTTCGGACATGAGAACTTTATGATACAGCCCTTTGCAGTGTAAACTATGCTTCAGGGCCATAGTCATAATGCACAGTCACCAGACAGAGAATGACCAAATGAGACAATATCGACTTACAACAACATGTGAGGCTCCAAACTTGTTTTAATATAACTTATCAACCTCTGTACTAACATTAATAAAGATTGAAACATAGATCCAGACTTGTTTTTCAGCAATTTTTTCTCTTTAAGGTATATGGTTTGTCTAATGATGTACTGCAACTGCTGGTTAAAGTGATTTACTCTTTTTCTTACTTTTAACTTCCAATCAAATCAAGCTACTTAATTATTCACTTTGATAGAACAGATGAAAAGAGTAAATTCATCTTTGAAGAAGAAAACCATGTGTAAACTTTATTATGATATAGTTCCAGATTATAGAATATTAATCTTTTAGTCATGTTTCAAAATGTTGTGTTCACAAATTAGTACTTACTTCCACTGGATACTGTTCTTGGACTTTTTCTCAATCAGTCCAATCCCTTCAAGTACATTGGTGATATCATATATTCTTCTTTTCTGTCGCACAGCAAGAGTGTCAGCTGCCTGTCACATAACAAAAGTAAATAAAAATGTAGATGGTAAAGATACACTAGTTATCCCTTCTTTTTTAACTATATTAACTTCAGAGGATTAGAAATAAAAATTTACCCTGCAAAAAACTCAATAAAAATAATAATGAGGTTTGTTGTCAACACTCTAGTTTCGCTTTGTGTTTAAAATTATATCAGTTGTACTTTGGCTAAAATCAATCAAAAATACCTCAATGAAATTGTGTTTCCATTACATTAAAAGATTATAAAACCCTAACACTCTCAACAGGTGAACCTGTCTTCACATTTCTCCATTTTAGTACCCACCAACTTACAAAACAATACAAGACTAAAATTTCAGATCAATGGACAGACTTTAGTGCATTTCACAAAAAAAATGAACAGAATAACTTGTAGTTTTCAGAAATATATTCATATCATTGCATAAAACACCAATTAAGAACTTACAAAAGGTGGCACTGATGGTCCATTAAGATCAATGTTAATCCTAAAATAAAAACATCCAAAATCCAACAAGACTAAATACTATTTTTGCATCTATATACATTAGAAACAAAAACTGGGGATAATCTACATCAGTAGTTCCCAAACTCTTTTAGTCTGTGGCTCCTATGATGCAAATAAAAAAGTTTGAGGCCTCCCAACCCATAACTTTAGCATGGTGATTGAAAAACAGTGCTATAGTAAAAGCAATAACATCTCCTTTCAACATACTGTATCATTTAATTAATTCAATATAATTTTTATCGCCTTATTGAGAGTTAAAATTAATTCAGCATCTTTGTTTTCGGACCATTTTTTGATGGCCTCCAGGGGGGCTCACAGCTCCCACTTTGGGAAACACTGATCTACATTACACACACACAGACTCTACACATTCATAAAGCAATTATTTATCAAATTAACATTCAAAGAAAAAATAATTCTCAAAAGAATAATCAAGGTTCAGGTTTTTATATCTTACAATTATTATATATTTCAGTAATTCATCAATATATACACGTATATGTAAAATACCTTCCTAAATCAGCTAAGAAGCTCTAAGAATCATGATCACCAGTCAAAACACCTCTAGCTCTTTTAAACTTTGATGAAAGGCAGGACTTCTCTTTAGTGAATCCAGTTTTTTTCCCTCATGATATATTTTACTAAATATTTTTCTCAAAGCTTCTTTTATCAAACTCTTTTAAGTAAAAAGTGATTATAATTTCTGAAATTTTGTTGTAAACATTGTTTCAAAAAATGATAAAAAAAGACTACCCTTTGTCTTAGATGTCTTTTTGTTGTTATTGATCAGAAAGTTCCATTTTGTACATCTAAACACTTTTAGCTTCTTTGATATTCTTTACCATTCAACAGGAGAATCATTTCTTAGTTTCCCTGTCCTAGGTACATGTTCTAACATTTTCCAAAATCCAAGTATACCTCTTGAAAAATTCTATTGAAACTGATGTCTTATCAACAATTATCTTAGCATCTAGTGAAAATATGGGTTTGACTCATAAGTTAGTTGGCATAAAAAGTTGTAAGAAGACTTGTGACAAACTGAATTTTTAACAAAAAATGTATTTATTGCACAAAATTTCTTTTATTGAAATATAGTAGAGGTAGGATGTCCTTTAGAACTTTCATTAGCTTCAAGAGTAGGCTGGTGATATCATTAAAGCACTCAGGTAACCTTGTTGGTGTGAGGGGGAGCTCAGGCTGATGGACCATCATTGTGCTGTTAGACAAGATCTTCCTAAAGTGTAGCTGAAGTTTGCACCTATGAAAAATTTTGAAAATCAAGACTATCAAAAACACTATTTTCTGCATTTTATGGCCTCTTTTCATACAATATGAACAAAAATGGCAGCTTGAAAATGTAATAAACATTTGTATTTATATCCATTTACATGTTTAGTTTTATTTGCACTAGGAGTGTAACACTCCATTTTTTTAACCCCCTTGCTTTTGTATAAATACTGTGACTGTTTCTTTTATCACTCTGACAATGCCTTTGAAGTAGACAAAACTAGTCAGCATTCTTGAAAATGTTTTATTTTGTGTGTGTTCTGATTCACTGAAATAATTAATAACAGTACAATCATATTTCATTACAAGTGGATAAGCATGCAATAGCCAAGTGTATAGCACTGATTGTATGACAGGAATATGTGTTGATATATGATATACTTTCCTTGCTTGAGAGTTAGAAATAGTTTCAAAATTATTTCAAAACAGCTTTTTTTAAGGCAAAAAGAGACTCATGAAAGGTTGTAATGAGAGTTATGGTGCTAACAGGATAAATAAAAAGCTAGTAGACAAAGTCAGAATAGCTGGGTAGATGAGTTGTAAATAGCAAAAGTAGGGGGATTTTACCCAGAACCTAATGAAAACATTATCCTGACTCTAAATTTCCCTCCACAAATAGAAAATTAATCACTAAATCCATCTTACCAAAGTTGGTGTCATAAGTATACATGATATTCAAATCAAGCAATGGATATCTTATCAAACGTTTTCTAAAAATCAAAGGTATAGATGGGCGATTAACTTGATATAATCGATTACTTATGAGTATTAATTACATTGCATCCTGTAAAATAATCAATTAATCAAAACTATTGTTTCCAATTATTCCAAATATTGCCATTGTCACTTCTCGTTATTTTTGAATAATCCAAGGTTGTTCAGCTTCACTAATAAATGTCACGACAAACAAAAATAATCAACAAATCAAAATCAGTGCTTCCCTTTATTATTATTTTTAATTATTCCAACTATCCAAGTCTTTTGTGAAGATGATCAATAAATTGAAAATAATTAATGAGCACTATGATTAATTGATTAGAAAATTACACTGATCACCCAGCTATAATCAAGGGTTCTTTTCAGTTAGAAATACCAATCATAATATCTTGAAAACTGGGACAGTACATGGTCTCTTGAGAAATGATAAATTCTTTAGAAATTCATCAACAGATGGATATTTCTAGCTTTTATCATATGATGAAATCTGTGTGCTTGGACAATGGTAAAACTTAAAGGTTTACATTGCAAATTTACATTATTTTGCAGTGGATATGTAGCTCATCAAGATATCCTAAGAAAGCCTGCATTAATACAATTTAACATCCATGTGTTCTACTACCTATGAAATTAGAAACATATGAAAATACATCTGATTTGTAATACAAGAAAAAAATTTCTAAAAACACGAGAAGACAATAAATGCTAATAATTAAAATCCAATGAAACTATTAAAAAATAAATGAAACCAACAAAATATTCTGTGTGTGAAAAAGGGAAATGATAAAATTATGACAGACACAGCTCTTTTCACAGTAAGTAGTACTTCAGTAAATTAGTCTAAAACAGTAAGTTATTTAAATTGGTAACAGATGAATTGTTGAAAGGTGTTGCTAGACAGTTGTCTTTCCTCTAGTCATCAGTTGAAAATTGGTGACTGGCAGATAGCCTTAGTAGCTTTGCTATAACACAGACAAGGTGAACAAGTTTTATGGCAAAGGGAATCAAACCTGAGATCCTTGAATCATGACCTCTCCCCACAAATCAACAAGTTTGAACAAACCTGAAGTAAAAACAAAACATGTAAGGCTAAAATTAGGCAGACAGCCTATCATGTAATTTTGTCTTAACATCGAATAAGCAAAACGGTAAATAAGAACCTTAATTTTTATTCATTTCTTGACAGTCAATTTTTATTATAATTTTGATTATTCAATTTAATTGTAATTTTGATTGATCACTTCATTTACTTGATATTAGTGCAATTAAACACTGATCAATGTAATCTATGCTCATAAGTAATTGATCATATTCCGTACATATGAGGACCAAAGCTGTTTGTTCTGTTGACAGTTGCTTTTTCTCTCAATTTGGGTATCTTACTCAAGTAATCAATTCTTGCGAGATTCAGAACTGGATTAAATTCCAAACTCTCTTGGTTAGGAAAATAAGATTATGGCAAACTAAAAGATATCCTGTTCTGTAGATTTCACAACTTTTGATTTATAGGTGTTTTTTAAGGGGGGTGCTAGTACAAATAAATATTTACAATGGGAAATTTAATCCATAGAGCTAGATGATTAAATGGACTAATCAATGTAAATTTAAGAAATACTGAGCATGAATTTTATACTAAATTAGAAAACAGTAAATATATGCAGTTACTTAATGCTCTATGATTATTACTTTAAAGTAAATTTTCTCTTTTTCTATAAACATTTCATAACTATGGTTTACATTATAATTTATGATGAGAATTATCTTTACTATACAACATTACAAGTGTAAACTACTGTTTACTGACTAGGTAAAGTGCCTATGTATCACTGTTCTAGTAGTACTACTACTTACTAACTTAGTACAAGGTTTCTACAAACACTAATGTACTGATTTACAAATTAACGTTTAATTTTATGTTATTTGTTTAACTTTAAGTATTTCTTAACATTTAAATTCTACTTCTAGTGACTCACGTAAGTTTGTTGTACAGCTCGTGTTCATTAAAATTAAATTCTTATTTACCTTTTTTAAAGTATGTTGGTTCTCAATTACATTGTAACTTGTAAGTGAATATGTAACTATAAGTTACAAGTTACATATTTTGCTTACTTTTGACAAGTTTTTACTTTTGAACAGAACTTACTAGTGCAGTAGTCCTAGTAGTACTACTAATAGTAATACTATTACTAAATCATCGTAAATGTATGATTATGATTTGAGCTTCCAAGTTTTAATTTTAAATAACTTATAGTTATACGTTACATATATTTCACTGCCACGACTACATCTTACTCTTTAACAGTTTATTATTATTCAACTAGAACTAAGTTAGTTTACTTTAAGCTTAGCCTAACTATTTTAAACTAAAGTTAAAATTTAAATTTCAAATTCAATTTCAAAACGTTGTTATTGTACACATTAAAAAATCCATTTAGGACATAATCAAAATTTCCAAACATTCTTGGCTTACTAGCATACCACTTTTAAATCCAATACACCATCCTTAGCTTCTTGCAGTAATGACACAAACTTTGTTGTTAATAGTCCCAAACTTTTCTCATGCCTACTTGGTGTGCCTACTTCTGCCATTTTAATTTTTGTGCCATAGACTCATAGCCGTTAACATCTCGTTAAGTCCCGCATATAAGGGGACTTATTGTGATTGCGTATTTTATCAATTAAAAAAATTGAAAAAATTAGCCTAATTTAGATTCATGACAGGTAAAATTAATGAAAAAATAAATCTATTACGTTTCTTTGTTTTTAGAGCAAAGCCACATTAAGCTATCTGCTGTGTCCACCCCGGCAAACAAGCCCCGGATTTTAGAGCTTTCAGTTCGTAGATTTAACGCTGTCCCACCAGAGAACAAATCTATTATGAACTTCTGACCTAAACTAAGATTACATCTAGAAATCATCTAAAAAATAACAAAAAACATTAATGAAGACAATTCTATATATGGAACTGACTATAAATATGCAATATAATATTGATTGCATTAAACTGAATTATCAGATAAATATCCTCGCTGTTAAAATATAGTTACGTCTCCAGTCGTTAG